TTGCCAAAATTATTCTTATCTTATCAAATACTAGCCCCGCCCACCTGCCCTCTATTTTCTCAGAGCATATAGCATTTGCCGAAATCGTTTTTATCTTATAAAGTATTAGCCCCGCCCACCCACCCTTTCCTCTCTTAGAAGAAATATCATTTGCCAAAATCATTCTTATCTTATCAAGTACTATATTATATAGGTACACTAGGTTAATCCAAAGACACGATCGCCGAACTTCTACAGTGCGACGGAACATTGGATCGGGCGCGAAGTTCAAAATACGATTTTTAAAACCTTTTTACAGTAAATGAGCGCGATGCAACGAGTTTGCCATGTTAATTCCCTATGTCCAGACTTGGATGCGGCACCCTGTATATTGAATATGCCTAAGTTAATAATAATAATAATAATAATAATACGCGAAGTCTAGCCATAGGCTATTCCACTTAACCTTAGATTTACAAGAAAATACAACTAACCAAACAGTTTGTACAGAAAAACGGATTAAATATCTAGACAGGAGTCAGCTAGGTAATGATCAAATTAAACAATTTAAACTAATTAAATCTAAATTAAATTAAATTGAATTAAATTAAATAATCCATAATTAGAAACTAAATTTATACAAATAATAATAATAATAATAACAAAAAGTTAACAACAAGCAAGATAACCACAATAATAAACTTAAACCTAAGTATTAATCAAGCATTTTTTAATTTTTTTTCCTAAAACAATTGATGGAAGAACTTGAATTAAACTCTAATAAAAATTTATTGTAAACTTTGATAATATTGTACGTGAAAGATCTCTGAAAGATAGATGTATAATGCTTTGGCATTGACAGTTCTTTAAGATTCCTTAATGGAAGACTTGAGTTTAACATATTTTTCTTGTATGAAATTTACAACGCAAGTACGGCGGAGAGTTAGAGGAAAATAACTTGAAAGCAAAGATAGATAGGTGATACTGAAACAATTTGTCAATTTTCATCCAACCAAGCTCACAGATTTTCTGAGACACATGATCAAATTTCCTCAAACCAAAAATGAAACGACAACAATTATTCTGGATTTTTTGAAGACGGTATTTATCAATACTGTCAAGACATGGGTAATATATTATTAGGCAATAATTTATATATGACAAGACAAGAGACTCACATAATTTCTTCCTCAATTTAAAATTGAGTAAAAGGTAATTTGAATAAAGAAGTTTCAATGCTACATAAGATTTTTTAATAATGCTAGAAATATGAGTCTTAAAACGAAAATCGTCATCAATCACCAATCCCAAATTTCTTACAGTATGTAAAACTGGTAGTTTTATGTTATCAAATTTAACATTAATATTGTCAAAAAGAACATTTTTAAATTTTCGGGGAGCGAAGCAAATAACTTTGCATTTATTTATATTCAGTTGGAGGTTAATATCAGATGAAACATTTGCTATATTTTGTAAGTCATTATTTATATGGTTAGATGCTATATCAACTTCGTTAGGTAGGAAATGATGCTGCATTTGGGTGTCATCTGCAAAGGCTCTCTTTTTAGATACTGAAGGTATCTGCAACAATTGGGAAGTATATATAGTGAAAAGAATTGGGCCTAAGACCGAGCCTTGCGGTACGCCTGATGTTATTAAGCCAATTTTAGATTTACCAGACTCGGTTACAACTTGTTGATGTCGATTTTGTAAATATGATTTAAAAAAAGAAACAGAAATTTGATCGAACCCATAATATTCCAGTTTTGTGCAGAGGAGTTGGTGGTCCAAAGTATCAAAAGCTTTTGAATAATCCAAAAGAGTTACAATACTTGCGTGGTTTTTGTCAAGTTCCATCAGGCAATCATCGATAACAGAAGCTAAAGCTGTCGTTGTGCTATATCCCTTGCGAAAACCAGATTGATCTTCAGATAATATCTCTTCTTTTACTATAAAATTAAAGATTTGATTATAGATACATTTTTCTAAGCCTTTAGATAATGTTGGAAGAATACTTATTGGTCTTAGGTCTTCTGGAGAGTTTACCTCGTCGATTTTGGGAATAGGATGAATTAAAGCCACTTTCCATAATTCTGGAAAGTATTCAGTCTCCAGACAGCAATTAATAATGTGAGTAATTCGCTGAACTATATTAGGACAACATAATTTAATCATATAAGCAGAGATACCATCAATACCCATAGCATTAGATTTCAAGCTATTTATGATTTGAAACACTTCCTCCTCAGTGGCCAATGAAAATTTAAAGTTACTATTTGGTTTATATTTGATACCTTTTATGTTATTAACAGCTTCAACACAGTTTTGGTGAGGAGTGAATACTGACAAAAAATATTCATTTATTTCATCAGCACTGAATGTAGATAGATCACATCCTTTAACTTTTTTTTGAATATTTAACTTTTTTAGTGCAACCCATAGTCTTTTTTTGTTTGAAGCATTACTTTCATAATCTAAGTACGCTTTTTTTTCCCGTTTCAGTGCAGCAACCGTAGAATTTCTTAGCTGCTTATAAAATAGCCAGTGCTGAGCAGATTTAGTTTGCTTATAAGTATAAACTTAATGCTCGATTTCTTTGTTTCATCAATTCTTTAATAGAAGGGGTGAGCCAAGGTGTATAGGGCTTTGAAATGAACGAGGTTTTGAACGGAGCGTGATAGTCAAATAATTCTAACACAGTTGTGTTAAGGTACCTGATTTTATCTTCAATATTGAGGATGTAATAAATGTTATCCAAAGAATTTTTATTTAAGTCTAACATAAATTTATCATGCAAGAAGTTTTTAAAGTCTCTGTATGTAGTATATTTAGGAGTCATTTTAGGAATATTTATGTCTAATATGCAAAAGGCTAGACGATGATCAGATATTAGATCAGCATTTATAACTCCACTTCTACGAAATAATGCATTATTATTGATAAAAATAGGTTCGATCAACGTCTCAGAATTTCGCGTAACTCTGGTACTTTCAGAGATGATTTGTTGAAAACCATAGGCAACAAAACAATCATTTAGCTTATTATTGAAATGAAAATCTTCATTCAGGTCGCCAGTTATTAATATATTATCGTACTGTGGAGTAATAAAAGATAAAAAGTTGTCAAAGAATTCGGTGGCATCGTTTAAAGAAGAAGCATATTTATAGAATACACAAATGAGCAGCGAATGTTTATTTAGTTGAAGTCTGATACACAAAAATTCGATACCAGCAACACCACAGTAGTCATGAAGGATTACATCGCTATTCAAACAATTCTTCACATAGATGCCAACACCGCCGCCCGTTCTAGACCGATCAGCTCTATATAATTTGTAACCATCAATACCAACCACAGCAGAAGGGATATCCTCAGACAACCAAGTCTCAGTAACAGCTACCAAATCAAAATTATTGAAAGTGATTAAGCTTGTAAATTCAACAAACCCCGTAAAAAGCGATATTACATTTAGATGTGCAATTTTAAGACAATTTAAATTTATTTTTTTTGTTGAACCCATGTCGTTAATAAGATCTGAACTATGAACCATAATCAATTCGGTCGCGTAAGTCTTTTAGCCTATTCCTATAAACAATGCACTTCTGCTCATCTCCAGCATAGTGGTTGATATCGATATTTGATGACTTATTACGCTCCGCGTATTCAATACAATTTATGCATTTGAGGTGGTCAGAATTGCAATCTTTGGAAAAGTGATTGTCAGAGCACTTGTGACATATTTGCGTATTACTTGTACATTTGGAGCTGAGATGACCAAATTTGGAGCATTTAAAACAACGTCTAACAATCAGATGGTCTGAACATGAACACAAGCTCCAATCAACATATATTCTACCATTACAATTACTTAGTATTTCTCTGCGTAAGGCACTAGTTACTTCAATAATGAAATTACAATTATACTTATAATCAAATCTTTTTACAACTTTGATTTGATTCGCATACATTTCGATGTCAAAACCATTTAATATTAAGATGTTGTCAATTAGATCTTTGTCTTCCATAGTAGAAACATTCTTGCCAGCACCTCTAACATAAAGACGAGGGTTCCACTTTTGGGATTTTTCGACACTATAGTCAGAACCAAGCGAGGATTTTAACTTGGTTATGAGCTTATCGCAAGAAGAATCATTCGCACATTTAACAACTACACCTCTGTTTAATATTTTTGTTAATTTTTAATTAATTAATTTGAGTTAATTTGAACATTCAATTCAACAGGGTTTACATCTTTGCGAATTTTTTCTAACACTTTGTCAAATTTCACTTTTTCAGGACCTTGATGCTTAATGAAAACATCGACTGATTTCTTACTCACTGTTTTTAGGCAATCAGCGTATGAAGGTTGTTGTATCGGTGCAGATGTTTGAGTTTCAAGTTTTTCCTTTTGCAATTGGTTGACTGTTTCTAGCTCATTTACTAGTTTTTCCAATAAGGACACTTGCTTTTGAAAAAATACATTTTCTCGTACTAACGTTGTTGGAGACTTTTTTGAAGCGTCAAGGCTGGATTCACATGTTTTGCAATGCCAGTTTTCTTTGTCAATTGCGACAATCTTTGATAGAGAATCAAAACACTTTGTATGAATCACAATGTTGCACAAACTACACTTTGCTCTGCTTACACTTTTGCCTACATAACTTTTGCACAGTTTGCAATTTGTATACCTCGTCCGACATCGCGGTTAAACACGTTCAAATTTTTAAGTTTTAAAATACTTGAGATATTTGCGTGGAACATGTACGCTGGGACAACCGGTATACGTGTTATAGTGTAGTTACACTTCAACAATGTAACATGTACAAGACAAACAACTCAAGAGCTAACTGACTTTCTTGTTTATTTAGAAAACTTAACAATGTTTTGAATTGAAAATACAAATAAACTAAACATGGAGTTAACATTTGAATTAAAAAAATAAAATATAGCAATGGCAACATCAAATTAAAAACAAAGCTTATTTACGAGTCAGTTATCATTTAGTTTCCGTTTAAGAAGAATTAATGAACAATTGTTTGTAGATGCTTGCAAAATTTGTATCTTCATTTAACAACTAATAAAGAAAGAAACACCAAATGCCCGCAATATATTTTTCAAGTATAAACAGACAAAATGTGAAATAACGAATACTTAAAGAGAACATGTTTACGAATACGAAATAGTGGTTTACCGAACCAAGGTTAGCAAGCATCTTTGCTTATTACATCACTAAGTATCACTTAACTTAGTTGAAAACACTTAAAGCGAACAAACAATTTGATACCTAATTATTTATAACAAATAAGACTCTGTTTTGTCAAAATTAACCAAAAACCTTAACATCCCCCAGACAACTTAACAGTAGAAACCAGTATCAAAAAATTGATATTTTTTGGTACCCTTCAAATCCAAGTCATACTCTGCGCATCTTTTAATATCTCTGAAAAACAATATCAGAAAAAACGACAATAAGCTGCTAAGTTTACCTTTTTTTGTACACAAAACTTGTATACTGCCACTTGTTACACCCAACTATGGGGTAATCTTCCTTGAAGCATTGAATCCTGAAAAGCGTGAAGTACCCAAATCCTATTATATCAGCAACTAAACTGTCGACTTTTTTTAAACACTTCAATAGTTTATCCTCGCAGGAGCAGGCAGACAAAGCGAAAAACCCTTTGTTGGTTAGACCGTGTTTGGTTTCACCTACTTCAATAATATCAGTACAACCATCGTGTTCCCTGCAGCAAAGATCAGCCTCTCGAGCTGCACCAAGATCTCCAATTGACGCTGCCACGCTACCTCTGCCGCACCATTTTGTACCTAAAATGTGGCGAAACCAAAAATTGTATGACTGATTTTTTGTATGTACCTGGTACCATCAACTTTTTTACTTTCCCAGCTAAAACATTTACAGAATAGTTCTGGATTTTCTGCATGGTTGAGTTAACGTTTACGAGTGGAAGCAAATCTTTCACGTTTCCAACTAAATCCGTAATATCGAACTGATCCGTGTCTGCGTGTTGGGGATCAACGGTTTTGGTAGTTGATGTCTTTAGATCATTTCTGGTTTCTTCTACCTTGTTGGGGTTAGAAGTTTCCTGCTTTTCCAGCCGTAGAAAATTTTGTAGTATGTTTTTGAAGCCGTCATTTTCTGGAGGAAGGGAGTTGGCTTCGCTTGGAATAGGATTTGGTTCAGATTTTTCAGTCCCAAATTTAATCCTTTGTATATTTGTTAGAGGTTTTCTGTCTAGTGTTGTTACGTATATAGCAACAATAAGAGCCACTGCTATCAGTGAACCGATAAAAAGGCCACACAACATGTGTTTGGCTTTAAACTAAAAAAGTATTATATTAAATTTGTTATACTTATTTATCGTTTATAGTAAATTTGGATCAAGTTTGTAACTTCTATTTGTCTGAATATAGAAACTGTTTAAAACCAAGGACACGTTATGATGAAGATAATAGTCCTTAAGTAAACAGAAATTATAGATAGTAAAATATAAAACGTGAGTCCAAATGTATTAATTAATTTTTCTACTTGTCAAAAATATACTACTAATTTGAAAAAAATAAAAACTTTTACATTTTTTTCTGCCAAAATTGGTGATAGCAACTTTTGATTTCACTATTAGCAACTTATACATCTATCACTTACCCTTTTTTTTATAAACTTGTCTTTTTTTGTCGTTACAATGCCACCCATTATTTTAAAACTCAAGAAGCTTTCGCAAAAAAATATGCGTCTGTAACGTAAAGTCACAAATGCGCCAAAGTTTACATTAACCTGGTAAGTAAGCTCATTATTATTCGTACTGTTATCGTCTACTAAGGTCGTAACGTATAATACGTAATGTTTTTGTGAATATACTTTACACTAATTTTTTTACTTAGTGTATGATATATTGCAAAAAATCGGAAAGATACCAAGTAAAGATTTATTTTATTGACTAAGGAACATTTATTTACAAATTAATAATAAAGGTGATTATCAAAACACTGATATATTTTAGAACCGCTTTTATCAAGCACGGGCTCCACGCATCTCTTTCTGTCCCTAAAATTAAAACGCAACGTTACATGCTTAACAACAAGTAAAAATTACCGCTCTTTATACGCATACGTAGTATATTCGCATTTGTGGCATCCAACAACAGGATATTCTTTTTTGAAACATTTTGGTCCAAGAACGTTGAAAAACAAAAATCCAACACCATCGGAAATAAGATTATTGACATTTTTTAGACACATGCGAAGTTTCTCGTCACAATCACAGAGTGACCAAACGCCAAATCCTGTATTTTCTAGTCCGTGTCGAGTTTCTCCGGGCTCAATGCTGTCTGGACAAAGATCGTGGGCTCTACAACAAATGTCCACCTCTCGAGCTACACCTAGATCGTCGTACGAAACAGCTATGGAACCTTTTCCGCACCATTTGGTACCTGGAGATAGCAGTACGATAAAACAATTTTCTAAGAAAGATTATCATTGTAATGTTGATATTTTTACCTGGTACTATTAGATTTTGTAGATTGTTTTTCCCCGTCACAGATAGAGAATTGTTCCGTAAAACCTCTCTGATGCTAGGTGGATATTCGTCAGGTTCCAATCTGATTTCTTCAATTTGATATTTTTCAATGACTGAAGAGTAAATATTTACGCAAATCGACGTTTTGGAAATATTTACAAACCTTCATGGTATTTGGTAATAAATACTATAACAGCTGTGACTATGGCAATCAATATAACAATGCAGAAAATATTTAACGTGGTTTTTATCCGAATCTAAAAAAAAATTGTTGTTCCTAGGAGAAATACATTTTCATCGTCATGTAAATTTTTACTTTTTTGTTACCATGAAAATACACATATACAAAAGCAAGGTCATATTAAAGTACTTTCGACCAAAACGTAGCTGATAAAAGTTATTGCTCAAAAACATATGGATATATAAATACGAGCATTATAGTTGGCACGAAAGTTGTATTAAAAACTGTAACTATAATGTTACGAATTAGAACTTCAGACTATATTACTCTGAAGAAGATAAGTATTATGTATAAAAATTCAACAGAACTTTATCGTTCCATTGAAAAAAACAGCTATATATACTATAGTGATGGTCCATAGATTAACTCAAGTATTTCCTGTGGCGTTTTCTTGAAATTGACACTTACCCGTCTTTTCAAAAAACTTTCTTCTTTGTTTGTTGTTGTGGCGTCGTCGGGACACATTTTGTGTAGTGAAAACTAAACAGCACTGATAAGACCATATTTGCGTGCTCAGTAAAAATGCAAATATATTATTTACTATTGTTTATTGCTTTCATTATAGCGTCTGTTCTAGTCTAAAACCTTAACAAAATCGCTAAATGGACCTTGTTAACTACTACAAGGCCAAAAAAGTTTTAGTCCCCAGGGCTCTAATTTGGGTCCTCTTCTCTTTTCATTGTTTATAAACGACCTTTCAAGGGTTGAATCAATCTGCTGCTTCCATGTTTCTTGCGTCACATAAGTAGGTTTTTTTTGTAGGAATAAAAATTTTCTCAGTTTCAATTTTATTTATTCAGATAAACAAAAAGAGCGCGTTGTTTTACAATGTAGTATATCAAATCAGGGAGAATCGTTGTAGTCATAAAACGGGCTATCAAACCACTGAAACCTTTTCTCCTTAGTTTTATCGAAAACATACTCCACGCATCTTTTCGCCCTGAACAGATATAACCCTGGTTCGAAATTCTTGCATTTAACGATTGGGTACTCCTTCCTGAAGCACTGAAGTCGAAGTACCGAAAAATAAATATACCCAACAGTGCGGGCCATAACAGTGTCAACTTTCCCCAAACAGTTGTAAAACTGTTTGTCGCAGTCACAGCTGGATGCCCTGAAGAATCCTGGATTTACTAAACCATGGTCAGATCTTCCCGGATTAATGACGTCTAAACAGGTGTCGTGTTCTCGACAACAAAAATCCAGTTGTGCAGAACTGCCCAAGTCTCTATAGGAAACTGCTGTGTGACGTGTTCCGCACCATTTTGTCCCTAGAAATATGTCACACTGAAGAGTTTGATTACAAGTATTTTTTACCAGGGAACATTATAGGTGTTATTGATTTAGTGACAAAATTTATGGAAGGTTTGCTAGTAGTTTTTTCAATGATGGCTGACAGATACGTGGATGTGTTTTGTTCGGCATCTGAAATGATTAAAATTGAAATTAGTGTCTTAACTTGTTTCAACTAGATTGGTTTTTGGAGATATTTTGAAAAAAAATAGATTTGTTTGAATTATTTTATACTCACCTAGCTTGGTGCTGCAGATGCCCATTAACATCAGTGGAAGTATTTGATTGATACACGCCATTTTAATTAATGGTTATCCTGAAATTATACAAACATAGTACTAAAAGTAAGATTTAGGTATAATCAAAACAAATACATAATTTTAAAAGAGGTTAAAAATTATTATTAGAAAAAATATTTGATGGTAACATGTATGTCTGAAAATTTAAAAAATAAATTAAGACAACTGCAGCTGTAATGTTTTGGATACTTGAATAGATAACACAAAATTACATATTAAGTATACGAGCAACGTGCATGGACTGCAGTTTTAACCAAGTGTAAATATTGTAAAGAGGTATCGCGAACTATAGATATATTTGTTATCGTTTAGGTCTTGCGTTAGTTGACTAGTTATTATGTTTGTCAGTGTCATTTTTACTCATTCCTTATATACAGGGTGAGTATTATATAATAACGGAACCTTGACCAATTTTCAATGCAACACAAAATACGTCTATCAAACAGGTCCAGTGTGGCTTATTTTGGGACTAATAGTGACAGTTGTGCCGATTAAGAACCCCGTTATTGCCAAACCTTGCTTCATGGCTGAACAAAACTTTGAACAAAAAATTGTTAATGTTGCATCAATTTGCATAATTGTGTTCTCCTGGGAAAGTTTTCTTCTTTTAGATCTGATACTAATGTCAAATGAGAAGGGTGGAACTAATTCGCTATCAAAATTTTTGAAACGCAAGATTGAGATATTCCTACCACCTGTCGTGCCATAAATCTTTTTGGCTCACATGCGGGTCATTTACACGAATTTCATTTTCGACAGCAGTATAGCAGTAGTACAATTTCTAAAAATTCTGAAAAAATTTAGAAACGTAGATCTCGACATGCTGATTCCAAAAATATAGCGTGTTAATGGTCACGGCGCAACATTTTCGAAAAAATCGGCATGAAATTGGAATTTTTGAAAATTTTTAAAAGTTCGTTATTTCGACGGTCGATTCTGGAAAAACGGTTGCAGTTATCAAAGAATCGAGGCCGAAAATGAGTTCTAGAGTTCGAAAACAATAAGAAGATTTATTTAGTTAAGTTTCGAAAATGTCAAAAATTGGCCGAAATTTGAAGAAGTGGGGATCATTGGAAAAATTTCGCTATTTAAAAAGTCGTCTAAAAATTCTGAAAAAATTCAGGAACGTAGATCTCAACATGCTGATTCCAAAAATATACGTGTAGAATCTCGGGAACCCCTGTGGGTCTTGCTTTTGAAATAATTACAAATTATCTCGAGGATCCTTTTTTGTCTTATTTTAGAAATGAAGGACGAAAGGAGGAAAAGGACGAAAACGACGAACAGGACGAAGGACGATATGGACGAAGGACGAAAAGAACGAAAGACGATATGGACGAAGGACGAAAAGGACGAAGGACGAAAAGGAAGAAATGGACGAATAGGAAGAAAAGGACGAAAACGACAAAAAGGACGAAGGACGAAAACGACGAAGGACGAAAAAGGACGAAAACGACGAAGGACGAGAAAGGACGAAAAGTGCGAAGGACGAGAAAGGATGAAGGACGAAGAGGAGGAAGGACGAAAAGGACGAAGGACGAAAAGGACGAAGGACGAAAAGGACGAAAGACGGAAAGAACGAAGGACGAAAAGGAAGAAGGACGAAAGAACGAAGGACGAGAAGGACGAAGGACGACAAGGCCGAAGGACGAAAAGGATGAAAGACCAAAAGGACGAAAAATGAATATAACGAAAAGGACGAAAAGAACGAAGGACGAAAACGACGAAGGACGAAAAGTGCGAAGGACGAAAAAGGACGAAGGACGAAAAGGAGGAAGGACGAAAGGGACCAAGGACGAAAAGGACGAGAGACGGAAAGAACGAAGGACGAAAAGGAAGGACGAAAGAACGAAGGACGAGAAGGACGAAGGACGAAAAGGATGAAGGACCAAAAGGACGAACGACCAAAAGACGAAAAATGAATATAACGAAAAGGATCAAAGGGACAAAAAGGGCAAAAAAGACGAAGGATAAAAAGGACGAAGGACGAAAACGACGAAAAACGAAATGGACGAAAAACGAAAAGGACGAAGGACGGAAAGGACGATAGGGACGAAGGACGAAAAAGACGATAAGGACGAAAGACGAAAAGGACAAAAAGGACAAAAAGGACGAAGGAAGAAAAGGACGAAGGACGAAAAGAACGAAGAACGAAAAGGACGAAGAACAAAAAGGACGAAAAGGAAGAAAAGGACGAAAACGATAAAAAGAACGAAGGACGAAAAAGGACGAAAAGGTCGAAGGACGAAAAAGGACGAAAAGGTCGAAGGACGAAAAAGGAAGAGGGACGAAAAGGTCGAAGGACGAAAAAGGAAGAGGGACGAAAAGGAGGTAGGACGAAAAGGACGAAAGACGAAAAGAACGAAAACGAAAAGGAAGGACGAAAAGAATGAAGGACGAGAAGGACGCAGGACGACAAGGCCGAAGGACGAAAAGGACGAAGGACGAAAAGGACGAAAAGTACGAAGAGCGGAAAGGACGAAAAGGACGAAAAGGACGAAAAGTACGAAAAGGTCGAAGGACGAAAAGGGCGAAAGACGAAAAGGACGAAGGACGAAAAGGGCGAAGAATGAACAGGACGAAGTACGAAAAAAACGAGTAATAATAATAATAATAATAATAATAATAATAATTTATTTACGGAATATAACTCCACTTTACAAATAAAGGAAAAAAAAAAAACAGTGTTTCTTGATTCCACGATACAGTACAATATTAATACAAATTAAACAAATAAAAAGTTGAAAATTAAACTAAATAAGATTACATATTATAATAATAATAAACCGACACATCATTTTTAAATTTCAGCCTACTAGAATCAAAGATTGAGATTCGAATGCGGCAGGAATATTCATTAGCTTCTTCCATCATTCTTCTTAACGGATGATTTTGAGCCAAAAGTGTTGTTGATGTTGATATTCTAAATATGTTTCGACTTCTTGTTGTACGACTGTCAACTGCAGGGATAAGAAAAGACAATCTGTTCAACAGACTTGGATTGTCAATATGTCCATTAATAATGTCATGAAGAACACAGGCATCAGAAATTTTCCAACGGATAATAAGAGAGTGAATTTGACACTTATCCATAATCCATCGGTAGTCACCCTTAATATGAGAATGACCCATTTTAAATTCCACAGTTCGAAGAAATTTATTTTGTACTCTTTCAAGTCTCTCATAGTCGATTTTATAAAAAGGAAACCAAACAGAAGAGCAATAATCAAAATGCGATCGAACAAGAGAGCAGTAGAGAGATTTTAGGGCCAATGGAGACAGATCTTTACAATGACGCCAAATGAAACCCCACATACTCATGGCTTTATTGTAAATATGGTTATAATGGCTCTTAAATGTAAGGGTCGTATCAAAAATCACCCCCAAATCTTTTATTTCTAAAACTCGTGAGACGGAGACATTGTCTAATTGGTAATCAAAACTGATATGCGATTTGGTTTTATAAAATGATATTACATAGCATTTCTTAATGTTTAAATGAAGACAGTTATTTTGACACCAGTTAAATAATGCAACTAAGTCCAATTGAAGTTGTTTAGCGTCTTGAATGGACCGTATAGTTTTAAATAGTTTCAGGTCATCTGCATACAGTAAATAATTTGAAAAATGGAAACTGCAAGTTAAGTCATTAATAAATAACAAAAAAAGAATGGGTCCACAATGTGTACCTTGTGGAACACCAGAAGATACGCAAAAAGGGGCCGAAATATAATTATAAATTCGTACCTGTTGTTTTCTGTCAACCAGAAAAGAAGATAGCCATTTAATCGTACCTTCTCTAAAACCTAACTTATGTAGCTTTACAATTAGCAATCGATGATTAACCCGATCAAAAGCTTTTGAAAAATCTGTATAAACAGAATCTACTTGCGATCGATTGGCAAATGCTTCATTTAAAAATGATTTGTATTCAAGAAGGTTAGACAATGTTGACCTGTTAGAGAAAAAACCATGCTGACTACTTGAGATAATAGATGCAGATGCCCATCGGAGCTGAATGGATACAATAGCATCAAGTAATTTGGGAATTGCAGATTGGTTGCAGACCCCTCTATAATTGTCCACGTTGTTACGTTGTCCAGATTTGAAGATGGGAATTACATAACTGTTCTTCCATAATTGAGGAAAGACGCCTTCACTGAGTGACGTTTGAAATAAGATAAATAAAGGTAAGCAAAGAGAGAATTTACAGTTTTTTAGAACAATGCTGGGAACACCATCAGGGCCAGGATTACAAGATGACTTCAAAAAGGAAATATGGTTAAAAACATCTGATAAACTAATATATAAGCCAGAATCATTCACTTGAGACGATGAATCAAAACAACAAGCAAAATTCCTCAAGTCATCAACTGCGTAAACAGAAGAAAAATATTGTGCAAAAAGATTAGCCACTTCATCCCCACCTTTTACAGAGTGCTGATCAAGTGTCATTTCAGCAGGAATACTGCTGTCACTCTTCTTTTTGTCACGAACAAATTTCCAGAAAAATTTGGGATTATTAAAAATACTAACATTAACGTTAGATATATACGCAGCATACAGTTGTTCACATAACTGTTTACATCGCGATCTCAAGGATTTAAAATAAATATAATCTTCAAACCTGCCTGATTTTTTATAGATAGAGTGCGCTATGCGTTTATTGCGACAAAGATCTTTCAATTCTTTATCGAACCATACCGGATAATTATTACGAGCATTATGCCTTAATATTTTATGTGGAATAAATTGTTCAAACCCGTTAAAAACTATGTCATAAAAAACTGCCACTTTTTCATCCAAATTAAGACCAAGAAAATAATTATCCCAATTAATCGATGCATAAAATTCATTTAAAGAAATATAGTCACCATTATTAAAGTCAAATATTTGAACTTCAGAGTGAAGCGAAGATGAAGAGGTGCAGGAAATATACCATGAATACGGAGAGTGATGAAGACTTTGAGGAAAAATAGGATCTACAGCAGGCAAAACTGC